TTTATTTTTAATAATAGCAACATAAACAGCATTTACTACATGCCAACCCAAGAAGCATCATTAATGTTCTTAACAAATGCGAACACCAAAGCCCTAATAGATTAATTTGCCCAAAGTCATACAACTAGTTTGTCACAGAATGAGGATGAATCCAGGAAGTATGGTTCCAGAGTCTTGTGCTCTTATCAGTTTTCTTTAGTTCACTTAATACATTAGTTTTTTTTTTTTCTTTTTTGAGACAGAGTTTTGCTCTCATTACCCAGGCTGGACTGCAATGGCGCGATCTTGGCTCACCACAACCTTCACCTCCTGGGTTCAGGCAATTCTCCTGCCGCAGCCTCCTAAGTAGCTAGGATTACAGGCACGCGCCACCATGCCCAGTTAATTTTTTGTATTTTTAGTAGAGACAGGGTTTCACCATGTTGACCAGGACAGTCTCGATCTCTTGACCTTGTGATCCACCCACCTTGGCCTGCCAAAGTGCTGGAATTACAGGCTGAGCCACTGCGCCCGGCAATACATTAGTTTTATCTCACATTTTTCAGCTCTCCAAAAGTAGCTAACTTGCTGTTGGCCAAAATCCAAAAAAAGAGTAAAATATTCATTACTTTATTTAAATTTCCAAAAACTTTAAGTAAGGAGGTTTATATTTTTCTCTGTAATTAAGAGTAGGTACAATTTTTTTGCACATCACGCCAGTGTAACATTTAGAGAGTGTGGATTAGGCACTGTAAGTAACAACATATTTGTTTGCCAGCTTAGACATTCTAACTACTTAATTTATAAAATAAGTTACTTTTTGGCAGTATTTAGCCTATGTATTTAGTTTTGTATAGGAATATGCAAATCATCTTGGAGGGTATTTTTCTCCTAATGGTCATCCATTGTTCCTGTCTTCCTTCCTAAGGTCTTTGAGATTTGAGCCTTTAGGATATTCACAAAGGTCCTTTCTTGCTCTCTCTTCAGTAAGACTATGATAGCCACACTTGTCTCCCTGCCTCTGGTCTTGCTCAACTTCGATCTAACATGAATAACATCATAAACGTGATCTTTCCACTACACAATGCTAAGCACTGCATTCCCATGATAAATAATAAATAATTATAAAAACTGTGCATTAATTGTAAGATAAAGCTGAAACTCTCCAGATTGAAAGGTCATTTATGACTGGTTCTGCTGACTCTATGGAGTGAATCCTAACTCTTTTTGGTTTTGTTCATTTTTGAGAAAATGGTGAAAGATATGAATACTCTCTCTAGAAAAATGCACATATTCAATAGTTATCTCCCAGGTTTCTTGTTTCCCATAGATTTAGAAGCATAATTTTCTTTTATTATTTTCTGATTCATCTTGTTTACTACTGCTAGAGAAGAAATGACTATATCGGCCTATATTACTATAAGCTCCTGGGGTAGGGGGGACACATGCTTAATATTATTTATTTTTTGGTCCAGAAGCTTCAGAGAGGGTCTATTATAGCTGTACACAAATTATATATCTATAATGCATCTAAATAAACAGAATAAGAAGTATATTCTTATACAATGACCTATCTGGCCATTGACTTTTACTTTAGATGATTTTCTACAGAGAAAGAAAAACAGACAAATCAAAACTCCCTTTCCATATAATATATTCAGTCCTGATGTGTAGAATATTAAGACAAAGAAGGGAAGAAAAGAATTAGAAGACTGGAGGGAAAAGGATGAAGCCGTTTTGAATAGTATGAGTTACTCCAGGTAAACAAAACCATAAATGGAAATAGAATAAAAATCAAATCACTTCCCCAATTTATATACCCATTATGAGATGCCTGTACCAACCATTTCCATTAAGAAAATTCTGAAGACTTTCTATTTTTCCATTAGTGAATACTGAATGCCTTTCATGTATCTTCATTTATAAGTAATGTACATTTAGGAAACATATCTTGAGAAGTATATCATATGATAACTAAGGCAAGGAGGAACAAAAATATGTCATACTGGGGCAAGAAAGGGACTGTGAAGAGAACAGATTCAAATCTAAGCTCCACTGTTCACTAGCTAAACAGTAAGATTACTTAAATTCTATGAGTATCATTTTCCTCATCTTTAAAATATAAAGGGTAGTATTTTGAAGGCTTGTAAAAATTCAACGAAACCACTTACCCAATGGGCCTATCAATGCCTGGCATCCAATGGGTGCTCGATGATCAGTTAATGTTTTCATAGTGATCAAAAATTATAAATATCAGTCAAAATAACAATGTGACATAACAAATAATATGTGAAAAAGGGCGAAGAAATGTGTTAAGTAAAATAAGTATAATTAATTCATAGAAAGACGGGGTCAGTACAAACTACAGCTTCCAGGATCATGAAGGAACTAGATGGTTATTAAAAGTGAGGATTAAAAGCATTGCCAAGAAGAAAGAACATTATAAGTAGATGTGTGGGAGCCTGAGAAGCTTGAGACATCTGAAGCCACAGGCAGAATTCTCTGAACTGAGGTCAAAGTTTAGGAAAAAGGGAAAACAGACCGCTTGCCCATGGTAAGGGCCTTGAATGCCAGGTGAAGAAATGGCTTCTGAGACTGGTCAGTCATTGGTCTAACCTATAGGTTTAATTCTGTTAAAAGTATGGGAAATAATGTTTTATTTTTATGTGTGTAAACAATCATAAAAATTTAAAAAGTAATGTCTAGTAAAATCATTCACATCATTAACACCTACTTAGTAATCTTTCCCTTTCCAATTGTACTGTAATAGCTACAGAATACACCTTAAATATGTTTTTGAAATTTCTCTTGGCACTTAGCCCTTTTTTTTAATAACAAGAAAAATATATTTGGCTGATTTAAAATATATTTTGGTTGCTATTTAAAAAATGGCTAAGTGCAGAGAGAAGACATTGGCCTATTATACCAATGACCAAGAAGCATTATAAAACAAAAAATTAATATTCTTTTCATATATTATGGTACAGAGTAATTTATGAAGGTAATGGTTGAAAAAGCATAGTTTATGCACAAAAAAAGAAATCAATCATTTTCCTTATAAACTATTTCTTGTGAAACTAATAAATGAAAAATAATCTAAATGCATTCAGTATACATTAAAAAGGAAGCTTTCATTCAAAGATAGAGTCAGAAGAAATGTAAAGGCATACAAAATGAAAATACTATCCCTCAGCTCCTAAAAAGAACTAGCAGCAGAAATGAAAAGAAAATAACAAATGTAAAAAGAATAAAATACAGACAATCAAACAAATAAATCTGTAACAAAATGTGATCAATAAATAAGAAAGATACTCTGACAAAATTAAACATTTTTCACAGATACTATCAATCTGGCTTTTAAGACTTTTATTTAAAAAGGTTAATCACTGAAATCTTACACTCCTATCTGCTCAATGAAGCTTAAAGGGTGAAAAAACTAAACAATAAAATCTACAGTTACTAATACTACATATGGAATATTTTGTTAATTTCACTCAGCACCCAACACACTGATAGTTTAAATCATTTAGGAAAATGTTCTCCTCACTTCAATTTGCTCCTTTCTTCAAATCTGAAGTCCTTAACAAACTTTAAGTTAAAAATAAAAAGTTTATTTATAAAGATGAATATGTATTTAATTATGTCAAAATTCAGTGATACTTTTAACTTTCATTCCTGTACTGTAAACTTGAAATCAATCCCTATTTTAGAAATTTGACTTAACCAGAATTAATCACTATTTTGTGTTTCAAACGCATTTTTATGTTTTATTTGATGTCGAACAATTCAAATATAAATATGCTCTACTATAGAATACATTATTGGTTTCCAGTCTTTTAAAGAATGAGACCCTTGTAACTATGAACAACGTTTTAAAACTCCCTGATGTGAGATACATACGTATCTCACTTTGAATAGTACTATGAATTTTATAATGCTTTAAAAACATACACATATCTCAAGAAGATTAGCATGTAAACTAGACAAACACACATACAGAAACAGCAGCTGATCTGCCCATGCATTTAAAGACTCCTTCCAATAATTTGATAGCCTTTTAGAGCTACACGGACCACCTGAGTGGGAACCACTAATTCAGAAGTCAATTTAGAAAAGATATAACCCATTCACGTTTGTTTACTGCTTCACAGTTTACAATTGAGTTTTATACCACCCTGAAAGATAGAGAAGGAAGGTATAAGAATTCTCATTTTACAAATATAAAGATCAAAATCTAGACAAACGAAGGAAATGGGTCAAAGTTACGCAGCTTAGTAACAGATTCCTATTCAATAGCAGGTCTTATTACTAAATCAATGTTTTTATTTCTCACAATGTATTCAGCCAGTGAAGGAAGAATGGCGTAATAATTTCTGTAAAATCAGCCTAACATACTCTAACCAACAACTCAGAGAGAGCAACAAATGTATTTTGACTTGCACCTTTTTGGACTCTCCAAAAAACTTGGCTATAATTAATAGTGTACTAAAACAGAAAGAATGAGAAAATGAGCTAAGATATGCTAAAGAGATAAGCCCACCTTAGCAAAGTGCCATGAATTAGGAAGACAACAAATTTCCAAATACTGTAAAACCTTCAAGTTCTATTTTTCTTAAATATCACTTTGTACCTGTCATTTCTAAACTCATTAATCTAATAAGCCCAATTGCCTTATGAATTTCTTAATGATCTTAACAAGATCAGGTAAGTGTTTTAAAATACATTAATACAATTCATTAATTAGTTAAGGGGTTAATTAGTTAAGGGGTAAGCTACTTCTAGAACATTAATAAGGTGACACAAAGACTGGGAAATATTCATAAAAGAGTACTAAACAGAACTAAAAATAAAAAGTCAAAAATTGGAGAGGAAATGTTTGTTTCAAAACATTATTTGGGATCTTAAAAGACTTCCATGACACTTTCTCAAGGTACGATATTAAAATGATGTCTCTTTCTTCTGTCTCATTCCAAACAACCATAAAACAGCAAATTAAAACAGTGATGAAACAAAACGCTTACAGGTTTGTATCTCAGTGCATCTCTGTAGGATCCAAACAAAGCAGCCTGTGCTCTAAGAAAGGCCCTAGCTACTCCATCACCCGTTGCTGTAGACTGCTTCTTCAGTTTATTTTTCAAGGCCGAGACCTGCATGACAGAGAGGAACAGTTAAATTAACACCTCAGAAATTGGTACAGCGAGGTAGGAACCCAATCAGCAGGCAAACCACAGTGTCTGCAGGTCAGCCAAAAATTCATCCTCCTCCCTGATAGCTTATCTTTTTAACTGCAGAGAGCACCTGCTGATCTGTTAATTGAACTGAAAGCAGGAGAAGAGAGTAACGTGCTAATGCAAATTGGTTTATGCTCTCTTTTTTTCCCAAGGCCTCTTGACATAAATAAGCTTTAATTATTTTACAATAAACTGTTTGTGAGCCACTTTTCTGCAGATTTTTAGCAATTATGACATGTGTCTACTTGTTTTGAGATGAAGCAGGTTGGGTTTCATCCGTTTTTGCTATGTAAGGTTATTTGTTACAGGTCCTCCAGAACCACCTACCATTGAATTTTATTTTTGGAAGTCTCATTTGCATATGTAATTTTCCAGTCATTTGTTGAATAGTTTTTGTCATTATGAGATAAAAAAGAGGGAAGAGGAGATAAAATTACTGAAATTATACCATGAGTGGAGAATTTTATGCAAATTTTATACATTGTCTCATTTAATCTTCACAACAATCTTCTAAGAAAAGCATTCATATTCCCATTAGTGAATGAAGAAATGGAGGAACAAAGATGTGAATTCATTTGCCCTTACTGTGTGGCCAGTAAGTGGCAAAGCTAGGATCTAAACACAGTTCTGTCCAGTTTTTTCCACTACCACGTGATTTGAGTTCAATATCATTGCCTCATGAATCAGTAATCAGATTAAAACACTAATGTTCCTAAATCAAAGAAAAACGTATTTAGAAATCTGCATAATTTAAAAAAGTATTTAAGTTTGTTGTAATTTTTCATACATTTTCTATCTTTTAATTTCAAGTGCTATAAATTTTAGACAATGCTTATCATTTATGAACAGAATTTTAAATGAGATCATACTCCTGATATAAACTCTTATTTTTTTAAGGAGGAGGAAATATAAAACGTTCCTATGCATCCAATTCACTGTATCAATTCCTTTCATACAAAACAGAAAACTATATTCTGTACATTTAAAAATATTGGTTCTCATATATATTCATCAATGCTTAAAATGGAAACATGTTAAGTTGTATAACAATTCTGTTTTATTTAGAAAAAAACTGGTAAGACAAATTTTGGTTAGAATGCTCACTTAACAGAGCATATTCTTACCCTTATTAAGCTATCATATAACAAAATACTGTCATTTCTCCTTTTTATGTACGTATGTGCATACATAGATATACACACATACATACACATGCATATACATATACACACACACATATATATATATATATATGCAAGAAGGGAAATTTTTACTTCTTTATGCAAGTAGCCCTGACTTTGCTTGTAGACGATTGTAATTGAAGTGTCAACCTAATTAACAACTAAACTTTGAATAATGCTAATGAGAAATGAACACAGCATCAGAGAAAAGACCAGCTCTACAGGTGATAAACCTTCACAGTAGTGACATTTTCCAGTGTAAAGTCACAGTTACTGTGATCTGATCAAAGAAACAGATCCCCATTGGGTCCAATTATAACCACAGTTTTGAAAAAATTATTGAGTTATGTTCATAATCTATGCAGAAAGGCCTTTGCAGTATAGGTCTTCTCCCCAAAGCTGTGATCTTTTCAATTTACATCCAAGCTCCATAGATTCAGATAAAAGTTGAGAGCCTAATTTCATTTAGCCCACAAAGTGCATAAACCAGTATTCATTTAAGAAAGGTTTTTATTATTAAAATCTAACCCCAATAAATGCATATTTAGGTAACCCACATATTCAAACAATAATAATTACCAAAATAAATTAATGCCTTTATTCTAAAACTTTTAATGCTATTTTTAAGTTTCAAATGCCTTCAATAAAATAACAATGGGAGTGAATATCAACATATATATTTAATTACTGTATCTACCCCCCAAAAAGATTATGACATAAGAAATATGATGCCCGTCTTTTTAAAGTATTATTATACACAAATAGTTGGTTTTAAAAGATTTTTACTTTAGAAAATAAAAATAAAATAAAATGCATCTTACATCTCTGCAAAAGAAAATTAGTGTATTTTTTAAATAAAATAGGAAATTCACAACTCAATTCTCCACAAATCAAGAACACAATGTTCTCAGGACAATCACAACACGTATGCTCACTAAGAATACAGGCAAGTCAAGCCATTCCTCAACCTTCATTATACCAAATCCTTGACTGCATAATTGCTGCTTGAGTTACACAGAAGTATTAAACACACTGCCGCTGCCACAAGCCATCCTGAATCAAATCATAAATACGCAGTCTTCACTTCCAAAACTAGTCAATGACAGCTCCTGAGATCCCTGTGGATGTGTAGAAAATAAGAAAAAAAAGTACTTGTACTAGAACTACGCCGGCCAATAAGGCAGCCATCAGTTATAAACGTACTTGATATTTGACTTGTCTCAATTGAGATTTGCCATAAGAGTAAAAAATGTAATTTTTATAAAAATATAATATAAACATATAATTTATATTGATTATATTTGGAAGCAATAATATTTGTATATAGGTTTAAATAAAATATACCATTAAAATTAATTTCACCTATTTCTTCTATTATTTAATGTGGCTACAAGAAAACACAATCATACATGCGGCTCACTTTTTTTTTTTTTTGGACAGCGTTATTCCACATGAATATACTATGTAATTTCACATAGATTTTAAACTAAAATTGCCTGGCAAGAAATACAGTTACATTTCTCCTTTGCCTCCTTCTAAATTATTTCAACTTTTGCAAACCATACAAAAAGAATTTTTCCTTGACCTACTCTAGTGAGCTTCAATTGTCAGTACAACTGAGGTTGTTCCTGTTCTTCAGAGACCAGAAGGGCAGCTAAGTGTTTCTACATGTGCAAATGCATGCTTAAAAATAGTCTGTAAAATTTGTTTTAAAATCAGTTTTAGATACAAGAATATTAGTATAATGTAAAACGACTGCATCAACCTTGCTGTGTGTCTGGCCTTTACATCACTGGAGTAAACTATCACCTGCTACCAATGCCCTTTGCAGTGCTAATTAACTTTTAGCAGTTTTTATCTATAAAAATGACTGTGTCTGTCCTGCACTTTTTCAATATCTGGTCTAGGAAAGAGTATTTTCTGCTTTAATTTCCAAACTTCTAAATTTGGTTATGAAATAAACATACATCTTCCCATGAAATCCTAAGGCTTATACTCACACATAACTCTGAATTCAGAAAAGCATTTGGAACCTTAGTCATATGGCTATTATCACATAATCCTATTAATATTGAAAAAGTATCAAGTGTTTTCTCTTTTTATTCTTAAGAAAGTAAACTAGCCTCAGCCTCTAATATCTACAGATTACTTCACAAAGGACATTTTATCTTATTGTCTTTAGAGACTTTACACTCTGTAAATACATTTTTTAAGTCTAATCTAGTATTAGGATAGATCACAAAGAGTTAAACAATGAAAATTCAGAAATAAGCATCATTTCATTGCTCTTATCAAATGTTTTAAATTCCTTTGGGTGAGAATTCAGGCCTCCAAGCAGCCATCCATGGGCAGAATTTTAACCCTGATTTTAGCACAGTGGGAATTCACTGTAGCATGAATAATATTATCACCAATTCTCCTCTTTTACCCTCTTAGCACTAAAGTGACTATGAATAAAAGACAGAATTACATGAGTAAACATAGCAAACAGGTACACATTGAAAGAATGCAAGTCATGTGCACACAGTCTTGAATAATGAAGTAATTATACCAAAGGAGAGTAAGCCAGGAAGGCAGAGCATATGAGGGGACTGAGTTTTTCTGAGAAGTGGCAGATTTCTTATTTTACTTAACTTTTAGATGTGATTTCTAGATGTGTCTTTTCAGTAAAATACATTAACTGCTATATTTAGAAATTTTTATTTTACGTTTAATGATCACAAAGGGAAAGATCAGGGTAAAGGAGAGAAGATAAAAGTAAGTGTTCCAAAATAATATTTAGGTAATCTACACAACCTAAAACACTCCCAAGATAACTAAACTGTTCTCTAGAAACTACATACATTTAGAAAAGTTAAAGTGTCAGATAATCATCTGCTGTAGAACAAGGTTATAAAGTTAAAACCTTTTATTCTCCCACGAATCATGTTATAGTTATCACATGAATTAGATAAAATCCCTACACTTCTTTAGCCTTTCTAAAGTTCAGTTTATTAAGAAACAAAATTAACTCCTCTCTTAATAATTTTCTAACAAACCTCTATTTGAGGATTAAAATAGTAACCTTTTATTAAATGAAAAGCGTATGATATACTTACCTACAGAGCCTATCATTACATTGCGTCTTTGGATGTTTAAAGTACCTGTCAAATACTAATATGGCATCATCTTCAACTATTTTCCTTTTAGAGGGACCTTAAAATTAAAATTAAGACAACCAAAATTGCTCTTATCTCCACCTCAGGCTCCATGTCATGCCAGCATCACTTCCACTCATCAAGCTGCTCAAAAAGTACACTGCAGGTCCTCCCCAACACTTGACCCTTTCTCATCTCCCACACTAAATACATCAGTTCTACCTCTGCCACAGATTTCAAATCTGTCTACTTTTCTCTAAATCACTGCCATCATCAGGTTCAAGCAACTAATATCTTTTACCTCAACCACTACAAATGGTCTCCAAATTGATCTTCCTGCTTTGTTTCTTATACCTGGTGATCCAGGACCCAGAACCCAATGTGATTTTTTTTTTTAACTTGAAGTGTATCACACTATTTCTATGCTAAAAGTCTTCAATAAATTTCCAATAAAATCCAAAGGTCTTCAACAAGAACTACACATTTTTTATGATCGCCCCTGCCTATCTCTACTGATTCATTTTGCATAATTCTTTTGTTCATCTCACTACAGCTATCAGTCTTGAATTAACCAACCTTTTCCCCATAGCAAAACCTT